GGGCATCCAATAATCCTCTGGGTCTACAAACAATGCAAAAATGTTTTGACTTTTCAACCTTGGAAACAAGGCTCAATCTTTCAAGGTACTGCATTGCGAAAAAAACAGTTTAGCAGGGACTGAACAAATAGTTCACATGAGATCATTTTCCCACCTTCGATTACATTTGGTATTTTTTGAATACCAATTTGAGGTGGGAAAATGATCTCATGTGAACTATTTGTTCAGTTACCAAATGTAATCGACATCTCAGTTGAGTGCAAAAGCATCAAGAGAGCAGCCTTCTACTTTTGAAAAGGAAAAACCACTGGATGTTTAGTTATCCCACAGTCACATAGAATTTAAAAGCTTTTCTCAATAAAAGAAACTGGGTTGAACCAGAATATTTTAAACCGACTGAAACCCTCCATTCTATGTTGGCTTGTATATTTTTCATGAGCTTTTTCAGAACATGTTGTCCCGAATTCAAGTTTCTTTCAACTCTAAAAGAAGAGATGCTTTCAGGTACAAAATTCACAGAAAAGTTGAAAGTACTGCACCGGTGATGGGTTTTTTGTGACAGTCACAAAAAAACCTCTTACTTTAGAGAAACAACAGATCACTTTTCAAATACAAGACGCAGAAAACTCATGCTACCCGTTTACCAACTCTAAATTTCAAAGCGAGAGAGGGTAAACATGCCAAACAAAATGAGATGACGCAATCGTCAAAACAATCAATTTTTTCAAGGAAATCTCGAATCCCAGGGACAAGGCAACTATAAAGCAGGAGAGTTTTTTTACAGAAATCTCAAGTGCTTGCATGCGTCTAAATCAGTTGTTGAAAACCATCCAATACCATCCCAATAAAACAATTCTGGTTTTATGTATGGAAAAAAGAGGCAGAAATTGAATAAAAAGGAGATGCAGAAATTGAATGATAATTTTTCTCACACACCACCAAATCAAAGTCCAAGACAAGCACAGACAAAAATAGAATTCCAGCAGAACTGCTGCAGGGCATCCAATAATCCTCTGGGTCTACAAACAATGCAAAAATGTTGACTTTTCAACCTTGGAAACAAGGCTCAATCTTTCAAGGGACTGCATTGCGAAAAAAACAGTTTAGCAGGGACTGAACAAATAGTTCACATGAGGTCATTTTCCCACCTCAACTTGGTATTCAAAAAATACCAAATGTAATCGAATGATGATACACTGGTTCAACCATCTCAGTTGAGTGCAAAAGCATCAAGAGAGCAGCTTTCCACTTTTGAAAAGGAAAAACCACTAGATGTTTAGTTATCCCACAGTCACATAGAATTTAGCAGCTTTTCTCAATAAAAAGAACGGGGCTGAACCAGAATATTTTAAACCGGCTGAAACCCTCCATTCTATGTTGGCTCGTCTATTTTTCATGAGCTTTTTCAGAACATGTTGTCCTAAATTCAAGTTTATTTCAACTCTAAAGGAAGAGATGCTTTCAGGTACAGAATTCACAGAAAAGTTGAAAGTACTGCAGGGGCAATGGGTTTTCAAGTCACAAAGAAACCTTTTACTTTAAAAAAACAACAGATCACTTTTCAAATACAAGATGCAGAAAACTCATGCTAACCGTTTACCAACTGTAAATTTCAGAGCGAGAGAGGGTAAACGTGCCAAACAAAATGAGATGACACAATCATCAAAACAACCAATTTTTTCATGGAAATCTCGAATCCAAGGGACAAGGCAACTATAAAGCAGGAGAGTTTTTTAACAGAAATCTCAAGTGCATGCTTGAGTCTAAATCAGTTGTTGAAAATCATCCAATACCATCCCAATAAAAAAGTTCTGGTTTTATGTATGGAAAAAGGAGAGGCAGAAATTTAATAAAAAGGAGAAGCAGAAATTGAATCATAGTTTTTCTTACACGCCACCAGATCAAAGTACAAGACAAGCACAGAACAAAATAGAATTCCAGCAGAACTGCTGCAGGGGCATCCAATAATCCTTTGGGTCTACAAACAATGCAAAAAAGTTTTGACTTTTAAACCTTGGAAACAAGGCTCAATCTTTCAAGGGACTGCATTGCAAAAAAACAGTTTAGCAGGGACTGAACAAATAGTTCACATGAGATCATTTTCCCACCTCAAATTGGTATTCAAAAAAATACCAAATGTAATCCATGATGAGATGCTGGTTCAACCATCTCAGTTGAGTGCAAAAGCATCAAGACAGCAGCCTTCCACTTTTGTAAAGGAAAAACCACTAGATATTTAGTTATCCCACAGTCACATAGAATTTAGCAGCTTTTCTCAATAAAAGGAACATGGTTGAACCAGAATATTTTAAACCGACTGAAACCCTCCATTCTCTGTTCTCATGTCTATTTTTCATGAGCTTTTTCAGAACATGTTGTGCCAAATTCAAGTTTCTTTCAATTCTAAAAGAAGAGATGCTTTCAGGTACAAAATTCACAGAAAAGTTGAAAGTACTGCAAGGGCGATGAGTTTTTGAGTCACAAAAAAACCTCTTACTTTAAAAAAACAACAGATCACTTTTCAAATACAAGACGCAAACAGCTCGTGGTAGAAACGATCAAAAGTTAAACAACAGTTCACAGCGTGATAATTTTGAAATGTCAAATTGGTGGTTAGCGAAACTGAAACTGCATGTGATCAATGATGTAACATGGGTTCAGGCATCTCAGCTAATAGAACATGCTCCATTAGATGCCACAATTCATAACCTTATGTTTGCATAAGGTTAAAATCAGTTACAAGTATTCTACGCTCGAACACGATTAGGAGCTTTTGGTCTCAACACTATCGTATAAGATCTCATCAAATTATTTTAAAGGACCTCAATATTTTACTGCTCTCATATTTACATAAGCACTTTCTCATTATATGTAACAAAAAAGAAAAGAAAGTTATGAGGCGATGTTTTTTTCTTAATTTATCGGAGGCATGTATTTATTGATAATAAATAATAAGCGAATGCTAAATTATAAATTGTTCTAGACAATAAGACTAACAAACACAAAGGGAGAGAATTACCGTTGGTAATGATAGCGCTGGTTTGGGGAGGAACTTTGAATTCCTCGGCAGCGAATTTGAGAACGGCCGGGAAAGGGGCTGAGACAATAAGACTAACAAACACAAAGGGAGAGAATTACCGTTGGTAATGATAGCGCTGGTTTGGGGAGGAACTTTGAATTCCTCGGCAGCGAATTTGAGAACGGCCGTGAAAGGGGCTGCTTCCGGTACGCTAAATCTGAAATTTCAAAAATTAACAGATTGAATTAAAAGAGATAAACCACAATTAACATGAAAGGAAAGGAAAAAAAGAAATTGAAGGGAATTAACGTACACTTTGAAAGGGAGCTTTGGATCGGAGGTGAGCGTCACTTTGAACGACACCTTTCCACCACCACCTGCAGCAGCACCGCCACTCGCCATTTTTCTTCTCTGTTGAGATTTTGGAAACGGACCTGGGACAGATCTTACCGCGTTATATATACGCACTGCTTATGCTGGACGCGTCTTGCGTAACCTTAACGCAGCACTGAGAAATCTAAGAAGGATGGGCCGTACTTGACTTCTGCCTCGGTTTATATTTAGTGGGCTGGGTTTAAGTACGGCCCATTTTGTCTACGGTCCAGTGCTCTTCCGGCTCAGGTACGTTGATTGGGAATTTCGATTAGGGTTTAAAAAACAGAGCTTAATAGTTAATTGTGAATTTTCTTTAGTTAAAGGGAATTCACTTATTTCTAGGGAAATCGAGGGTTTAATTATAAGAAAAATACTGGAGGGAGTTGAGATTTATAGAGGGTTCTGGGGATAGAGGGGTGGTTGACTTTTTTTATGGAATCACATAAAAAACATATATTTTTTTTTTTATATGAGATAAAATTAATGTGTTATACATTATTAAAAAATTAATAAAAATATAGTTATGTTTAATTTTTAAATAATATTTTGTGTTAAAATATATATTAGTAATTTTTTTTTAAAAAAAATATTTTTTACATCAAAATATTAAAATAACTTAAAAACACTAAAAATATATTAATTTAAAATTAATAAAAAAATAAAATATTTTTAAAAATATTTTTTATATAAAAAAACTAACATCTGAGTAGCTTGTGACTTTCCCCGCTGTTCATTTTTTCGGGTTTAATAATTGAAGGAAGATTTTTAATCTTAGCTAGAGAAATGGAAACAAAAGAAAACAAATAATACTTGAATGTGTTTTTTTTTCCTTGAATAGTGAAAAAAAGAATCATAATGGTTGATGAAAAATATTTTTTTATAAAAGATGTTAAAAAACAACTTATTTATAATATTTATATTGTTTAAGTTGAATTAACTCAACCCGTCAAAATAGAATAATATAGATATTGTTTTTTTAAAACTTCGATTTGGAGCAATTGCTGCCCCACTCAAATAAGAGGGTAAAATAATTCCAAGGTGTCTCAAGTTTTGAAAATTAGTTATATTGACCCCTCGTTTTAATTTTGATCACTTAAGACCTTTCATTATTTTTTTATTTTTATTATTTTTGATTAATGTGGGTGTCCGGGCCAGCTTGCGCGCACCACGACTAATCCCACGGGCCCTGAAGTTAACGACCATGTAAGCCTCCAGTGGCCATCATATGAGCAACCAAGGATTCGAACCTGAGACTACAGAGGGAACAAACCCCTTGATCCTAAGCTCTTACCACTTGGCCACCACCTAGATGGTTAAGACCTTTCATTATTATTATTATTATTATTGATGGTCATGCATGCTCCCCCAATCATTAATGATGTTTATTTCAAGAAATTAATGTATATCACATGGACGGTTCAGATTAATCTATAAAAAAACTGAGAATCAAAATTGAATAAAACAATAAAAAGAAAAGGAGCCGTAATAAAAATTATTATGTTTAAATAAAACCTAAAATTTAAAAAACACAAGAATACTTCAAAAGTAATTAAACTTTATTCAACTTCATCTCTTCACTGCTCTCTTCTTGAATTTTGATATTTTCATGATTTTCTTTTCCCAAAAAAAACATAAATTTTGGTTTTGAAATATTTTTAATTTCTCTCTTATTTACTTTTACCACATGGCTCCATCAGAAAACCTGATCTCATAAAATTGACATTATAATTCTAATATTTTTAGTTTTAAATTATTATTTTTAATGTTTGGATTGTTTTTATTTGTTGATATGAAAAATAATAAATAATATTATTTTAATATATTTTAAAATTAAAAAAATTAAAAAATAATCTCAACACATTTCCGGTAAATTTCTCAAATTATTAACCACAGACATAGATGGATGGACCACACTTGACCAACCACTGGGAGTGTAAGGTATCATGCAACCGAAGTTAAACTAGAGGTAAACCATTATTCGTGCGGTGAGGAGATTTTCAAAATCTATTTTTATTTAATTATATAATAAAAATTTATATTTTAAATAACTATAGCAATCTAAATCATGGAAAAGTATCATCTATTTAGGTTTTTATTTTTTTCATTTATTATTGTTTCAATAAAATCATGCATTTTTTATTTGTAGGATAAATTTTTTAATGAAAGCATATACAGATAAAATAAACATTCATAATAATTCAAATTTCAACGTAGGATAAAAGGTAAAAAAAATTTTCATGTTTTTTTTAATATAAAAAGGTGCTATTTTAAAGAAATAGTGGACATTATATGAAAATAATTTCCATTCAAAACATAAAAAAAGTCACAACATGATAATTCTAATGGAACAATATAAAAGGAACGATAGAACAATTAATTTCAGAAAATTATAGCATAGAAAATAAGGTCTTATTAAATGTTCATCAACAATTGTTTTTAAAAAAAAACATGCAAATTATATTTATAATTTTTTTTATAAATTAATTGATAATATCATAATAAAGAGCCCATAATTTATTTTAAAATTAATATTTTTAATTATCAAAAATTTATTAACACCAATTACAGACAAAATAAAGAAATTAATCATCACTGTGAGAAGTGAAAAATCGACACACATGCATGAAGGTTAATTTTGATTGTTAAAACTCATCTATTTAAATTTTAATATAAACAATTTTTTTACTATCTTGGAGATAATTAAAATAAATATTCATAAGGATCTAAATTTTGAGAAAAAATGTGTTTCTCCAGTTGAAATTCATTTTTGTTTTTTGTTTTTATTTTGATAGAGATGTGGATTTTTTATTAATAAAAACTTACAGCAATTAAAATAAATATCTATCAAAACTCAGATGAATTAAATTAAGCAAGAAAAAATATTATTTGGCCAAAGCTTTACTTTTTTTTATGTTGTTTTATTCTTAATTTCGAGAGAAAATATTTTTTTATAAAAATGACGGTTATTTAAATAAAAACTTATCATGATTTGTAAAGTAACTTTAAGGAAAAATAATAATATTTTAATTATTCTCATGCAGCTACATAAAAAAAAATGGAGATGGTACGTAATATAGAAACCGATAATGATAAAAATACATGTTCTTGTTGAATATTTATACCACCGTTTTAAAAAACTCGTGCACGTTAGTTTATATGAAATCATTAAAAAAAAATATTATAATTAAAAATATTACAATAAAAACTTAAATATCATTTAAATAACATGGATTAACTTGTTGTTTTTTCAAAATCACTGTAATTAATTATCTAAACAGTAGTTTTTTCAGAGATAAAAAATACAACAGCCTAGACAAGCCAGCAAATGCACTCCGATGCGGTTGGGAAGTCCACGCGCCTGGGCTCTATAGCCCAAGCCAGGGCTTTTTTTTTTTTTTTTTAATAACAGACTACTCACCATATATCTTCCATGCTAAGTGAGTGTTTCGTTACGTGGTTAATTCCATGTTTGGAGCAACCACGTCAATTTAATTATTTGATAATGTTCCAAAAATAAATTTATATTCATAAAACCTACTATTAATTGTGGTTACAAGTTTATAAGAAGCTGTAATTATTTGATATCAAGAATTATTTGTATTAATAAACATTAAAAAATAGCTATAACTAAATATTAAATTAAAATATTAAAAGATAGATATCCATTACCGTATTTCCATATTTGATCTATTATACACTAAGTTGTGTTTATGTTTCTGATTTTACCAGATGTTTTAAAGTTTCTTATAACTTATAATCTAATATATAATTATGACATGGTTAAATTATTTGGCCGCGCTGCAAGAGGTGCGAATGGATAGGATGGTATATTCTATAAAAAATAAACAAATGACATTCTGTTTTTTTTTAGAATGAACAAATCAAGTTGTACAAGGTAAAGCTCACGGAATTAAAATGAGACTTCCTTTAAATTTCAAAAAATATAAAAATGTGTTTTCTTACTTGAAAACTATTTATCAGAAAGTAATAAACAGTGGCACTGCGAACACGAGAGCCCACCATCTGGTAATCAATGATTCCAGGCCTTCTGATCCACTGCAAACAAGCCTGTTGTCATGGTAGGTGCAAACTGCTTGCTTCCTGAAATCAAGACAACAGTACTGTTAATCTGTGTTTATGAATCATTATATACAGTAGAGATTGAAAATCTTAGTATCTGTAGATGTTCTTCCTGTTTACTGACCTGGACGAGCAAAAGGAAACAATATAATCAGTCCCTGAGCACGTAAAAATACTGGTAGGATCATCATATGCATAGCTATAAGCAGTAGGGCATGCTTCTTTGAACTTCTTTGAATAATATGTAGGTTGACAAACCACAGGGTTTCCATAAACTCCCCTGCAACAATATTCATCCGTGTTGAACACATCACAAGCGCTTCGACAAGCGATAACCTTTCCGTTGGACTTAACAGCGAGCTCGGAAGGACAAGTATCCCTCAGATCTGCATCACAACCAGCAACGCTGCAGTTTCCTTTACCATTTACTGGTGTAACGGCTATTGGCAAATTAAAACCGTCGACAAGGCTGACATCGTAAAAGTCGAGTGTTGTTAGGGTAAATTCAGCAAGGGAGGCCGGGGTCTCACCGGAGGCCTTGCATTTCAGGGATGTGCCACAGGGCCCCGTCTTGCATGAACCACTTCCATTTTTATCGAATTTGCAGCCTGTTCTGCCCCATATCCGGCCACTCCAGCCAACCGGAGCAGTGAAAACAATTGATTGTCCTGATTTTAACTCAAATCCACCACCGTTGAAGTTGTCACCTGGGGTGACAGCCGGCCATACCGTTTCTTGGCAATAATTAACTATGGTAAAAATCCTCGCACACTCCATCATTTTTGGCCCTGCGGGTCACGAAAATTGAGATAAAAATGGGAAAAAAATTATTATTGACGAGATCCAAAATGTTTAATTTAATGCCAGCTGCTAGTTATCTAATTTTCTTTATTGTATAATTTATGAAAAATGGCTTTCAAATTTAAATCATACTTTAAAATTTTATTTATTTTTAAACAACTTATGATAAAAATAAGTTAAATTCAAAAATATTTTTAGCATAAACTAATATTTTTTTATAAAATAAGATACATAAGTAGTCACAGTCAATAAGTTACAAGTTAAAAGATCTTAGTTTTTAATTAAAGCTAGACTTTGACGCCATTCCGTGACAACCCTTTTCATTAAAGTTACAAATTGCTTTAACCAAAATATTTATCATTTTTATGTAAAAATAATAAAAAAAACAAATGAAATATAAATATTTTTAATCCTAATTAGATTTAAAAAATAAGCATCTTGGTCGTCAATATATAGTGTAGCAACAAGCTCCCCAAACCAAAGACGTGTAGTACTGTAGTATGTCATGACGACATTGCTGAATAAATTAACAGAATTAACTAATTAATTACAAAAATAAAGAAGAACAAAAAACTGATAAAGATTTAGAAAGCATTTACCTGATGAAATCAGGAGTAGAATCAGCAGTAGCGGCAAATGCACACGGAGACTTGCCATCTTTCTTATTTTGCTTGGTGTGCTCTCTATAGAGGAGGAAGATTTAAAATGTAACCGGCATATAAAGCAGAGTGGCGAAGAATACGTGTGGAGGAAGGGATAGTAAAATCAAAACACGAGTCCATTCTAGGGATGCTGCAGGGCAAAGCTGTATGATTCTTTTCCTAATCCTTTCATGCAAGTTTGTTCAGGTTCCGTTCATTCCTTTTTCTCTGCTTTGCTTTTCAATTTCATGCATCAATGGGACCGGTGGATTTGGAACCCGAATAAAAAAAGAAGCCACAGTGGATCAGCAGAGCCGGCCACCTTGTGATGATTAATCAAACTGTAATCCGTCTCCACTTTTTTGCACTCAAGTATTCATTTGTCTTTATAATTTATACTTGCTATTTTTCCAGCAATACGTTATGTTACGAGTCAATTTTTTTTAACATTAAAAAAAACTAAATAATGATAATCCGAATTCGCTTAAATTCACTTAAAGAACCCGTGGAATATATGATCAGGATATCTCGTAGAATGAAAAACAAAAAAATTATAAAATTAAAATCCTGATAAACTAATATAAAAGGATATATAAAAATTAATTTAAAAAAAAATTAAGTTAACCTGGTTCACTCCAGTAACTTATTACCCATAACATAATATTAAAATTAAAAAATAATCGAGATCAACCTTGTTCACCTTTTTAATTTTTTTATTTGAAAGATAATGAAATAATTTTACTATTTGAAAAAAAGAAGATGTAGAAGCTCCTCTAATCCTTTACCTTGTTGTTTGCATTTTAATGGTATTTATATCATTTAACTACATGTAAAAAGTTGGTAAATAATTATATCCTGATTAATTTTATAATATTAAAGGAATTCCTTAAAAAATATCATTTTACCTTATAAAAAGAATATTTAATTTTTTTAATAAAAAGAAAATACATCATTATACTGTAACAATCCATAATACAATAAGTCTAATTCTATAATAAAATACTGGTGGGTTTTAGTTTTTTTAATAGTATTAAAGTATTAGCACTTCAATTTCTATCATTTTTTGTTTTGTTTTTTATTGCAAGCCAAATTAATTTTTTTAATTGAAAAAAAAAAGCTGCTAGCCTATTTTATAGTAGAAAAAAATTAAACCTTATGAGGTTAAACTAATGCAATTTGATTAACTTGATGAGTTTAAAATCAACTTGAATGATAAAAAATAATAACAAAAATAAATGTTTATAAAATAAAAAATAACAAAATATTTATTCAAGACTGCGATAACTTAATAAAAATAAAATACAACAACTTATAAAAACCAATTTAGAATAAACCAAATATTGGTCATGGGGGCAATTGGATGGGCTAGTGCTCTTAAGCCATAATAAAATAGCATAAGCATATAAGTCTATAGCTTAGACTCATCTATCTGGGTTTTAATAAATTTTTATTTTTTAAAAGAACAAACAATATGTTTTTATGACCTTGTTTTTTTTATAAAAAAAAAACAGGCGACACATTACTTGTTGTGCTAGGATTTCAACACATGAAAGGTTGCCATAAAATTATGATAGAGGTGTTTTACACTAAATAATTTATTCTTCAACCATTTTTTGACATGAAAAGACAAAAAATAAACATTATAGAAAAGTAAATGAATTTGTTTATACCTTTTAATAACCAAAAAAATCCAAAAATAAAAAATAAACCTGAAACCTATAATTGTTTTGAGATTAGATTTATTACCTTATATTATTTTAAGGTGATAGAATATCCAAGTGGAACTCCTCTCATTTAATAAAATATATTGATATCAAAATTAATTATTTTAATAGTTAAAATCCTTGTCAGTCATATTTTATTTTTACTACTAGAATTCAACAACTCTCTCTCATATATTAATCCATATATTAAGAAGAAAATAAATTTTTTTATTAAAATTGAATATTAAAAAATCTAGAGAGGCTACAAAGTTATCACTTGAAAAGCAAGATAACCAAAATAAATCTTTCACGGCTTTAAAATTCCCACACATTTTCTTGGCATTTTTAACTTTGATATTCAATCTTTCAATTTGATCATCTCTTGACAAATCAAAGGAAGTTGAGTACTAGTGTGGCCATAAAATGATTAATTCGTAGAGAAAAAAATAAACTACCAAATTAAAAAAAAATACTGTGGATTCCTGGAAAAAAAAAATCTACGCCTTATAAGGAAATCACCATAACCTCAGCTCATTAGTGATTTACTTTCATGTATAGCACTTTAATTCTTGTAGTCTTATTTATGACTGTATATTCGATCATTAAACTCTTCCCTTAACAGTCATAGTAATTGTATTATATATATACAGTATTACAATGAAATATATTGTAACCGTGTCAATTCATTTGTAATAATCCTTTTATGGTATCAGAGCTCTCTTCTCCCACGAGATTAGAAACGTTCATCATGTCAACCAATGGCAACCCTATTCCTCTCTCAGACTCTGCGTCTTTGCTTCCCCTTGTTACCATCAATACTTCAAGTCAATTACCTTACAAACTCACACCCTCAAATTATCCTTCCTGGCGTGCAACTTTTCTCACTATTCTCATTGGATATAATCTAATGAAATATTTGGATGGCACTCTGCAATGCCCTCCTACACCTGATGCAAACTCTTCTACCTCTACTGTGGCACTCCATACACACTGGAACAGGCAGGACCAGCTGTTGTTGAATGCCATTTTTGCTTCTGTATCTGAAGCAGTTATGTCCCTCATTGCTATGACCACTACAAGCCGTGATGCCTGGCAACATCTCGCTCGCTTGTTTGCCAGCAAATCTCGGGCTAGGATTATGCAGTTAAAAGAAGATCTCACCCTTATTCAAAGGGGATCTCGCACGGTGTCTGAGTTTCTTCATGCGGTCAAGCTGATTGCAGATGAACTCTCGTTGATTGATGCACCTGTTTCAGATGATGATTTGACATTATATGTGCTTAATGGTCTTGGCTGTGAATTTAGAGATATGGTGGCTCCCATACGCACGAGAGAAACTGCCTTATCCTTTGCAGAATTGCATGATCTATTAATTGGACATGAACATTATCTCAAACGTATGGATGGACAACCTTCCTCAAATCTAGTTGTCACAGCTAACTCCTCTCAAAGAAGGTCATCAAATCCTCGGTTCAAACACAATAAAAATCGTTTTAATCGTTACAATACAAGTTCTACCAAGAGGCCGTCTGTTGTCTGCCAAATATGTGATCATCCTGGTCACACTGCCAAGAACTGTGTTAAATTGCAATCTTCACCTTCTGCAAATTACACCTCTTCTACTTCAGCGAAAGGCAAATGGCTTCTTGACTCTGCCGCTTCGCATAATATCACGTCTGATTTGGCTAATCTCTCTATTCACTCTGAGTATGATGGTCAAGATGAGGTGGTTCTTGGTGATGGTAAAGGTTTGCATATTGCTAATATTGGTTACACTACTATCCCCTCTCCTTCCCGTTCTTTTTGTTTAAAAGACGCTTTGCATGTGCCCCTCCTTCACAAAAACTTAATATCAGTTCATAAATTCACTCATGATAATAATGTTGTTGTTGAATTTCACCCTTTCTTTTATCGCGTGAAGGATCCGATAACGGGAGCAGTGCTCATGCAAGGCAAATGTGAAGATGGTGTCTATCCTGTGGAACTATGTCCTCCTTCGTCTCAAGCTCATGTTGTCACTCTAGCTGGCACACGTGCTTCCCTTGATCATTGGCATCACAGGCTGGGACATCCCAGTTCCAAACCTTTGTCTTCTATTCTTCGCAGTTATAATTTACCAGTGTCTTCATCTCAGTCCTCTTCATTATCTTGTGTTTCATGTCATTGCAATAAATCGCACAAATTGCCATTTAGTGTCACGTCCCTTACCAGTCATGCTCCACTTGAATATTTATATGCTGATGTTTGGGGTCCATCACCGGTTCCTTCCATTGACGGCTATCGTTATTATGTACTTTTCGTTGATCATTTTACAAAGTATTGTTGGTTCTATCCTATGCATAACAAGTCGAATGTATCTCCTTTATTTATTCAATTTGCAACCATGATTGAAAATCAGTTCTCTAGTAAAATTAAGAACTTTTATTCCGATAATGGTGGTGAATTTATCAAACTCAGATCTATTTTGGCTGCTTGTGGTATTAGTCATTTTACCACTGCACCGCATACCCCCCAGCAAAACGGCACTGTTGAACGTCGCCATCGACATATTGTCGATACTGGTATGGCCCTTTTACATCATGCTTCAGCCCCTTCCACTTATTGGACATATGCCTTGGCTACGGCGGTTTATCTTATTAATCATCTTCCCACTATATTACACTCACGTAAGAGTCCTTTTGAAATTTTATTTGGAAGAATTCCTGACTATCATAAGCTGCGCACATTTGGATGTCAATGTTATCCCTGGCTTGTTCCATATCACACAAATAAGTTTCAATCCAAATCCTATCCTTGTATCTTTCTTGGGTATTCCAACACCCAACATGCATTCCAATGTCTGCATCTTAAAACAGGTAAAATTTATCTCTCGCGTCATGTTACGTTTGATGAAAGCATTTTTCCTTTTACAAAAGCATCATTCTCTACTCCTCAGCATGTTGCCTCCCCGTGTCCTGCTCCTTCTTCTCCTGCTCCTGTTCCTCCTGTCTACATGGTTCCATTGGATAATTCTACCCTCACATCTACCGGGCCTGAAGCTACTGCCCCCGTGACTCTGTCTCCTACACCAGGTATGACTTCTCCTTCTTTTGCATCTCCTTTACCTGTTGAACCTGTGCTTCCCACCTGTACTCACTCCATGGTTACTAGGGCTCAAAACAATATTTTTTGTCCTAAGCAACTCTCGGTTACTACAAAGCATCCACTTGCATTACCATTGGAACCCACCTGCGTCTCTCAAGCTCTCAAAGATCCTAGGTGGCGTAAAGCCATGGCAGATGAATTTACTGCCTTAGTCTCTTATGGTACTTGGCGTCTGGTTCCTCGACCATCAACTTCCAACTTAATTGGCTGCAAATGGGTGTTTAGAATTAAACGCAATCTG